TGACCAATGAGGGGACAGTCATCTTTGACAGAGGGGTGCAATTAAGGGCAACTTGTCATCCTGCGCGCTTGCGTTTTTCGGTCCAGCCTGGACAGTGAGCAAATGGAGTCGTACAGACCGCTGAAACATCGAAGCATGCCCTGGTATGTTTGAAACAAATAATATCATCCCGTGAGTAACGACGGCGCATGATAGTGAGTTAAAAGGTGAAAATTCCCACAATGTGACAAAGAGCGTGCAAGTGTAGCGCAGCCAATCGAAGGGCGTGCGCCAGTATTAACGCAAACGTACCTGGTCCGTTAGCCGGTGAGCAAGCAGTGCGTCAACAGGCAGGCACAGTCGGTAACTTTCGGTGATTAAAAATAGAACAAGACCATCAAGGACCAAGTAATATATTTGGGAAGAATAAACACTGCCTGCTCTACCCATTACCCTATGTGTCGCGATGTGCTGCGAAGGCATGTTTCTGATGAGCTTTTCGAGTTATGCATGCAAAATTAGTGACCTTCAATCTGTATTCTGCAATAAAGAAGGCTCCTCGACCAGCACTGCCTTTTCGGAATATAACACTTGAACTGTAAGCACGAGTATAAAAGAATGTACAATTTGTCTCTTCCATTCCCTCTCGTGTTCGGAATTTCTTTAGTTGATTAGTTGCCTACGCATGGGATTGTGACAGATACTTGAGACAAAATAACTTTATCCGGGATACAAAACTTCCCCTGAAGCAAATCGAAAACGAATAGTTTTCATCTTGGATCGATTTGTATATGTATGGATCACATAAGCGAGGCTGTCATAGGAAATTCATTTAACTTTCACCATCTGCTTTCTAAAACACTGAATAATTTTGTGTTTGAGATGGAGCTAATGAACATCCCAATTCGATTCCAATTTCTTTTTCTTTTCAAGCGAATCGATGGAGCTGAATTCCTTGAAACTTTTTCGTTGAATAAAATAAAATGTGACGGAAGTAGTATGCACTAATTGGAATAAAACTGACTGCTTTCGTTAGAAGACACACCGGCGCAGCCAAACAAGCGCAACTTGACAAGAGGTTAATTGTAGATTGGCAGACGCGCGTCAAACTCACCCCCTCTTCCGCATGCAATCCGCTGATAACCATTTTCGTGATTGCATTCATTTCGCCCATATCGACTTGCACGAATTCGGTTAACTCCGTCCCCACACGTCGATTCGGACACCAAGCCCGTTCGGTTTTCTCCGATCTAAAGTAATGATGAAATCAACAACAACAACAACAATACTGAAAATAAATGTGATAGCACATCGATAGCCAATAGAAAACAAACGGTTCAAGGTCACACAAAACCATTCAGTGACGTGTACAACCCGAACCACAAACAAAGCAGACTACGATGTGAGCTGCGCATTCGACCTCCAATTAACTTGAATAAGAGAACCGAAAGGAAGCTCGTCCACGACTACGGGAAGCAAGTAGAACATTTCTTATTGATGCCCGATTGTTTCACTTCGTTGCAATTTCTTCACCAGTTCTTCCTGTCAAACTGTCAATGAGTCAATTTGTGATTGTAACGGACATCCGATACCCCGTTTAGAGCAAAACGTTTCCCAATCTGTTCAGGCTAGGTAACACTTTGTCTTTTCTGATCTCGCAAACCAAATAAGTCCATACACATGGTTAATGGCATTTATGTCTGGTGAGTGTGTGAAAGAGAGCGTGTGTGTGTGTGAGAGAGAGAGAGAGAGAGAGAGAGAGCGTGCGTGTATGTGTGTATGTGTGTTGACCAAAGCAGCATCCGTACATGAGAATTTGTTTGGAACTCACAAAAAGAGTTTGCCAGATGAGAATTCAAATTAGCGTTTGGTAGCCAGCACTTGATGCTTGCTGATGTGATTGTGATGTTGATGTTGATTGAATACAAAAGTATCTTTCCTCACTGAGATTTTGTAGCAAGAAAATGGAACTGCTGTTTCTCGTTCATTCACATCTCCTTCCATACCTGTAAGGAAACTAACTCTGTTAAATAATAGACTGGAGCATACACATCGCAATAACGTGTCTAATTGTTCTCTTAGTCCAACTTCTAGTCGCCTATCAACGAACCACGAAGTCAACCTTGATTTACACGTTCAAAACATGGAGCTACGTAGTTGACAGCACCAAAAGCAACACCGCATTGCTTAATCATACGTGAGCTGTGTGTGAGAGAAAGATTATCCTTCAGAAAGAGTTTGGGCGTTGAGCCGTGGAGATCGGAAACCAGCTCAATTCAATCACGCACGTTGGAAAAGGCAACTCTTTAGTAATCCTATGCGTATGGCTCCTTAAGTCTGGTGTAGTTGAAACAGTCACTCATCTTTTAAGGTGACCGTAAAACGATGATAGACCATAATGGTTTAACGAACCTAAATCACAATATCGTAGTGTGAGATTCACGGCGGATCGCTAAAGCTAAAGACTGAGCATCAACGTGTCAGTAATTCGAACTCGTGTAATAGGAATTGGTACGCGAAATATAATCGCAACATTATGGGATTCGTAGTTCATGAACGAGTTTCTTAAATCGTCCCGAATTCACAAAGATCGGAGCGAGGATACCTAGCGAACGATAATAACATTCGGAATGGGCGATCTTAAGTGTGCAACAAAGTGGACTGACTCTGGTTTCGCTTTTTTTTCTTTGAACCTGCTCTGAACCGGACCGCATAAATCCTTAAAAGAGGCATGAGTATGTCTGCGGTGAGTTCCAGTGAAGGAGAAAACTTTAGAAGGAATTTCGTCGTGAACCAAAAGGGCAGGAAACCCTTCACAGCTGGTTCGTACAACGACACAAAGGGAAACAAGGGTTTGATCAGCTTCCGGGTGATCAACTGAGTAGTATATAGGCGCTCTTCGAGTGAGATCGCAGGTTCAGTAGTTAGTTCGGCCAACATATTTTTACTGCTAATGAGACCCAACCAGGCAGAACAATTCGGCAAAATGCTTGTTAGGCTTTTAGTGCACGCTTCTTTTGCTCTACACAAGATGAAATCTACGTGAAATCGAATCCAATTCTCCAATGCTCCCTTGAAGAAAGGGAACATATGTAACATTTGTAATGTGTCCCAAGGAGAATAACAATGGTAAAAGAAGCACATCACGCATTGCAAGACCTCATTTCTTTTTTCTTTTAGACTTTTACTTCTTTTTTATTGAATACATGGTGATACAATTTTCAGGAGGGGGAAGCAGCCAATCAAAGGGATGCCATGGGAAAGTCAGGCGGTGTTGGTGCGGTTCGAACACACGTCCCCCGAGGTGATAATTTGGTGACGTTACCACCGGACCACCTCCGCCCATCATCATCAATAACAGTCAGCTGAATTCAGCTCTCCATGCACACATACATCGACTATAGGCTATGACGATCAGATTTACTCCAGGTGGAGAAAAAGGGTTGTGATGGAACCATTTGCCACTGTCGATGCACACACCTTCAGATTTTTGTGAAATTGTTACATATAAATAACGACCAATTCACTGACTATTTCTTTGGCAATTCCCGTATATTTTTGGATAATAGAATATCTCGGATTGGATTACATGAGAAATATGAAGCGCATATACGTGTATATTCATTTTCCATCCGCAAGTTCATCTTACCCATTGATCTTCGATTCTGATCCCTCATTTCGAAACAGGATATGTAGTCCTATATAACTTTAGATTCATACAAAATTCACACAAAAAAATTCAGGTCTGATTCAAGGGATCTATTTTTTTAAACAGTTTTTCGTGGACATAGACATCCACCGTCTCACTTCATAACAATAAGTATGAGCCACGGTGTGTACTGAATTAACACTTTCATGCCCTGTGCAGAATGCTATCTACCGGGTGGGGGTAACTAACTGAATAAGTGGCTTACGAAGTGTGTTTGATGGAAGCGGTAGTGAAACTGTTTACACGCACATGTAAACATACAAATACACACACAATGAAGCGCTTTTGACCAACCTCAGGTTCTCGGCAGTGTAACGTCTTGCACCACCGGACTCGCCAAGATCGCTGGTGGCGGTGAATGCGGTCGGTGGGATCCGATATTGATCTGACAATAATGAATGAATGCATTGTGTTTGCTCCGGACTAAATGTCGGTTCGATCTGGCTCATCCTCGGGTGCCGTTCTGCCGTGGCTGCAGAAACCACTTGAGTATAGGTTTGTGATGCCAGAAGCAACAGCCATGTCACTGTGCTGGTACAAGCCCAAATCAAGCCTGATAAATTCGAAGGAATCAAGTTTGATAGGTCGAACGATGTGATGGGGTGAGAAGGAAGGGAGTGGGGGTAAATTAGGATGAAGGTTTCTCGCGTAAGGAATGAGAAAAACACGAATAGGTGTTTATTAATATTTCACTTTTTGAACACTTACAGTTACCAGTAAGCGTTCTTAACAGAACAGAAACAGATATTGTAATCAAACTGAAACCTTAAATCGAATACACTGCAGATACCCATACACACATTTCCAGATGAATCATTAGCCTCCGTGATGAAACTTCAGTTTGGGCAACAAACGAACAATTTAAAAAACTGCTCCCCGCACCTTCCATGTAGTTTCGTTAGTTGTGACTGGCATGAATCGATTAGAAATGGTTACAAACTGCATCAAAGTATTGAAATTACTGAACGGAACTCGACCAGGAAGTCGATTAATCAAAATGCTTTTAGACGAGACGATGAAACAGGACTGTTCATAGAAATCGGAGGTACTGTGCAGTCTTATGTATCCCACCCACCTTTGTCCCCGGGATAGCCGACAGCTACTGCCGCTTCCGGGGGCAGAGGGGGGGGGGGCAGGGCTGAAGGACGTGCGATAAGTGTTCGAAATTCCGGTC